TTTATCAGTAAGACTTTACCTTTGGTTGCCACTGCCGACAGTCTCTTTAGGCAGAAAGTACTGCTGTAACCTTGTGGAAATCAATTTTTAATTAATTGGAAGTTTGGTTGGTTTGGTATCAATGTAACAAAAAATATATAGTTAACAAAGGTCGCACGAGGTCCAGTCTCAAACGAAGTTCAGGTGCAGATGCTCAGGTTCAATCGATGCCTCAGGTGCAAGCAGATTTCTGTCCTATTAACCTGTAATCATCAAAGGTGCTCCGGTCTCTTGTCTTACTGAGTTATCGAAAAGGACCGGTTTCCAGGTGCTAGTTCGGTCCAAATCAGGTCAAGAGGTGCATCAGCCGTTGCAAGTGGCAGTCATGTCGTCCTATGAAGTTGCATCAGTTCCAGGTGCTCGAATCAGGTGCAGGTACAGGTGCTAGTGCCAGGTGCGGGTGACACTGTTCAAATCAGTCGAAGTATTCTGCCTCTGCTTCCGGCAGTCGAGGCGCTCTGCCCCGTCGGTGGTGGTCGAATTGCTCTGCTCAATCGGTGCAGTCGAGGCACTCCACTCAGTCGATGGTGGTCGAGGTGCTCTGCTCAGTCGATGCAGTCGAGGCACTCCACCCAGTCGACGGCAGCCAAGGCGCTCTGCGCGGACAAGGACAGTCGAAGTATTGCCCCAATCGAGGGCAAAGGTTTCCTCAGTCGAAGAAGAGCTGCACAGTCACTCTGACTGCGGTCTCAAGAAACACTCTCGCAAGAGGTGGTGAGGAAAGTACTTTATTACAATTACAATTATGAAGAACACAAATCAAAGACAACAAATCAATGCTCGAGCAGAAGGACACTATCACTCAACTGCGGGCCCTGCAGAAGAGGTGGGGAAGATGCGTCGATTTCCTCGCAGCCAACTTAACAGCTTGTTGAGGAGCTTCTTCAGTGATCCTTCGCTGGTGTGCGAGCGAGTCTGAACCTCCGTTGAAGTTGAGGTCCAGGGGAGCCGATCTTATCAGATCCAATGTGGTAGCTTTTATACCCTGCTGGAAGTGGGCGTGAAGTTATCATTGCCGCCTGTAACAGTGCTCCAAAAAGTGCTATATGGTGCCGTTACTACATGGAATGTAAGCTAGCGTTCATGCGCTCATCTATTGGATGCTAAGAGTCTCTATGGCGCGTACGGTGTTGTGTGTGAGCGAGGAGAGAGCGCGAGCTCTAGTCGCATCTTTGTGTGTATCAGTATGAATGGAAATGCCAGTGAATGTGATGGTGGACGGGAAAGTGTGTGTGTGTGTGTTGGTGTCTGGGTATCATTAATGAAAGGGAAAATGGGAACAAAGGGCTCATCTCGCTTTAGAATTGTACAGCTCAGTTCGTGTACGGCTGAACAAGCGAGATTTGGGCGAGCGGTTGCATCATGGCGACTGTGCCTAATGGATGGCTGGTGCCGCTGTCGGTCGATATCTGATCAACGCTCTCCTAATGGATGTTTGGCTGGCATGATGTAATGCCTTCGCCGAGTTGGTGTGCCTTTGTTCGCATGTGAAAGGGAATGCCTGATCGTGCCTTGTCGCAGCCAGTGTACGGCGGCCGAGATGATTGCTCGTTTAGGCGCGTATGCAAAACCGTACCAGACTCCAAATTTGATTTCTGGCGATACGATCTGCCCGGGCAAGCTGGAGTTAACGAGCAGCCATTTCTCTTGGATGATGCCTCAACAACAAAAGCTTTCACGGCCGTCTCCGACCGTACGAAACTGAGTGTGCATAATAGCATCATCAGTCTCTTTCTTTTGTTAAACGGTTCTTTTCAATTGCCATGGCGTCGACTAGGCAATCAATTCTGGCCAGACAAGCATTCACAAAAACTCTCCTCTGAATCAGAGCCAAGCCTGATAGCGACAGAATGACGCAAATCGTGGCAAAAGCTAATCAATTTCATTTCTCCTATACAAATATTTTAAAAATAGATGGTTTTGCGTTACCTTACAAATTTTTTTTGTTTTTGCAGCAGTTTTAAAATGTCCGTTAAAAACTATGTTAAAATTTGGTATTTAGAATTTTTGTGTTTTAAAATTGATTTTGTTGTTATGGACTATAACTCAACTATTATTTGCCAAATTGATGATTTTAAAACCATTTTGAAAATTCTTTCTTCTGGCAAACTAAAAAATGATATCATTTGGCAAATGATGCAAGACTGGATGAATGTGGACACGTTTAACCGACTGACACATTTTAAAAAATTGTTCAAAGAGTGTTTTTTGTTGGACTACCAGTCCCGAGAATTTGTTGAAAACGAAGTATTTTTAAGTAAAATATTCAGATTGCTTCCACTTGAATTTCAAACAGAATTGAAAGAATTTGCTAAAAAAGTGTTTCAATCATCTATCAATGAGCTTTCTGAGTCAGAAGATGTACCGCCTCAACATTTACCTGTTTCTGAGTCAATTTCATTATCAAAAACTGCTCTTCATTTTGTGGCAAAAGAGGCAAAACAGTTACTCGTTTGCATTGACATAAAACTTGGTTCAGTTCAATTCTACGACCCCCAGCACAAAAGTTGGCATTCATCCCGTGTATTATTATCACTGCCAAATGGACAATGGGATTTTGAATTCGCACTGCTTGGCAGTATGCTGTACGCATTTGGTGGGAAGGATGATGACAATAACCCTACCAATAAGATGTGGAGTCGTGACCTGAGTGATCCCTCGTCTCAGTGGACAGCCAGGGCAGACATGAAACAAAGCAGATGGTGGTTTTGCAGTGTCGTCCTCAATGACACCATCTACGCTCTAGGTGGACAAGACACTGACAAACACCCTCTCCGTAGTTGTGAACGCTACTGCAGTCAACAGAATGAGTGGTCAACAGTGGCAGACATAAACATTGGCCGTGCTTATGCCTCAGCAGCAGTCATCAATGGATGCATCTATGTTGCTGGAGGAGCGAATAGAGGAAGAGAAGATTTAAAGTCAGTTGAGAAGTACTGCCCTGAGACTGACATTTGGAGGGAGGTGGCACCGATGACCACGAAACGCTGGTGCTTTGCTCTGACCCCCTTTGCCGGTCGTCTCTGGGCCATAGGGGGTAGTGGTGGCATAGATTTTTTGAGCAGTTGTGAGTCCTACGACCCAGTGACTGACACCTGGCGAGAGGAGGCACCGATGAAGGAGGGGAGACGGTGGCATGCAGCAATGGAATTCAATGGGGAACTGTATGTCGTCGGTGGTTATGGAAAGAAAAGTGAGACAACGTTAATGATAAAGTTCTTTTTAACAAACAAGCATTTGATAAAACTGATTTATATTTTGTGTTAGATCTAACGACTGTCGTTAAGAAATACGTTCACCCTAAAGGATGGGTGGAGGACAGTCAACTTCAACAAATATGCGAATTTCCTCAACTGCTGATCATACCACTTGCATACTCGTCCTTCTTCACAACCGACTCAAAAAAGAAGTCTATTAATAAAACTTACAATTAAAATGCAAATGATCACTGTGTGTGCTTAATTTTATTTGTCGTACAAATGATAAAAAAATCAATGTGGAGTGGAAAAGGAGTGGGAGGGGAGGGGAGGTAAATAGTAGGTAACAACAACAACATAATAATCATAAAAAATATACACTGAGAAGGGGAGAGAAGAAAAATGGAAATTGCATTCAAATTAAGTTATGCGATTCGGATTAGATTAGCAGATTAGAGAGTGAAAGAGAAGAGAAGATAAGTGAAGAGATAGGTGAAAGGTAAATAGAAAAGAAGGAGGAAACATTGGGACATTGGGTTTATATAAACAGGAGGAAATGGAGAGAGAGAGACGATGAAGCTGGAAATAATAATCAGTGATGCGGCGGCGGCGGCTGATGCTGAAAACTGTTGGCCATGTTCTGCTGTTGCTGCTGTTGAAGAAGATGGTTATGAGGCGGTGGAAGATGAGGGTGAGGAGGGTGCTGGAAAGGATGTGAAAGTTGAGAGGGATGAGGAGGGGGTGGATGACCTTCCTGCAGGAAATTAGGAGGTGGTGGTGGTGGGAGTGGCTGTTGTGGGAGTGGCAGTCCATCCCCCGAAGAGGGCGGATAAGGCGGTCGAGGAGGAACTGCTCCCTCCGAAGAGGTCTCACTCTGATGACGGTACTGTCCGACAAACTGATTCACAGCGGCGGCAGTGGCTGAATCACCTGAGGGAATCCTCGAGGAAAGACGATCACTGCTGTTGTGGTTGAGGTGATTTTGATTGGCAAAGGACTGCTGCTGCTGCTGCCGACCAGCCCAAACATTTTCCGGCGGTTGGTGCATCGAAGGCGGCGGCAGTGGCAGCTGCTGATGCTGCTGATTGGGCGGCGGATGAACGGAAAATCGACTAGGCTTGTAGTTGTAGGAATCACGATTACCTCCTCTTTCTCCTTCCCCTCCTCTTCGATAGCCATCATGCTTTGAAGAAGAGGTAGATGAGGCAGAAGTCCATGCCACAGCTCGACCACCACCTCCTCCACCATAACTTCCGTCCTGGTAGCCCCCTGAAGAATTGTGATGATAAGAGTTGCTGTTGCTATTGCTATTGCCATAAGAGGAGGATGACTTTGAGGGTGAGTACGATGAGGAAGACTGCACATAGTCCCGATAGGAGTGCTTGGCGTACTTGTTCGGCCCGTTGCTGGAGCCGCCGCCGCCACCGGAAAACTCCCGCTTATAGCCCGAACTTTCCGAGGAGCGACTGTATCCGCCGTCTTTTCGATACGAAGACGAGGAATAGAGGCTCGAATTTCCACCGCCTCCACCATAGCTGTTCGAGTGGTTCGAGTGATCACTAAAGTGGCCATCTCGGCCATCTCGGTCGGCTCGGTCAAGTCGGTCAGCTCGATCCGATCGAGAGGAAGTTGAAGTTGAATTTGCAATCGGCGTCGGCCCCTTCTCCGTCTTCAGCAGGTGCCGGTAGATCTTGTACAGCTTCTTCGCGCGGTACGAGGTAAACTTCGCCACAAATGTCCACAGGTTGTTGCGCCACTCCTTACTGTCGCCACCGCCGCTGCCATAGTCCCGCTGACAGCGGTCAATGTGGGCCCCAATGACCTTAATGTACTCATTGAAGAGCTTCTTCTCCTTCTTCGACCGCTTATCGTCGCCAATGTTGTTCAGCGCCTTGAGGGCCTTCTTCACCGCCCGCATCTTCTCCTTGCACTCGTTGAAGACCGCCTTCGGCAGCTCCAGCTCGTCGCCCTCGTCCTCATCACCTTCGCCAGCTGAGGCCTTGTCCGACTTTTTCCGCTTCTCCTTCCGCTTCTTCTCCTTGCTCTTCTCCTTCTCCTTGTCCTTGTCCTTCTTCTTCTTCTTCCGCTTGCTCGAGTCATCGCCGTCTTTTTTCGAAGACCTCTTCTTTGAAGATGAACTTTTTCCCTCCCGGTCGCTGCTGCTGCTTCCGGCGACATTGTTCTCTTTAGTGTTTCCGCCGCCTCCACTTCCCTTTCTAGACCGCTTCTTCTTTTTAAGCGGAGAGGACCCATCCGCAGAGGCCTCATTCGACAGCAGCGATGAGGCCTTCACCTGCTTCCCCGAGCCGGTGATAATGACCGGTTGGCTGGCGTTGATCAGGCGAGCCATTGCCTTGAGAAGGTAGAGCACTCGAGCCTGGAGCTGCTTCGCCTGCGGCTTAGAGTCGTTGCCGTCGGGGAGGATCTAAAAAAGGAATTAAAATTAGTTAAAAATCTTATCCAAAAAATCCACAACACTACAAACCTTTTCCATCAGTTTATAACTGGGGTCCATCTTAATGGCCTCCCAACTGCCAAAACCGTACTCGTAAACACCGGCCAGCAGCCTCGAGTCGTCCTCCACCGTCCACGTGCAGTCCCAGCCGCTGGCCGACTTGAGCTTGCACTTCAGGACCCATCTAAAATAAACAGATAAAAATGTTCCAAAATTAATTCAAAATCCAAAAAAATCAAAACTTCTCCTACCTCTTCCTCTCCTCGGCATCCGCCGGCAGCAGCTCATCCAGCGGCTCCAGGTCCTTCTGCGTGCTCAGAACGGTCCGGGCAAAAACGGTGACACTGCCGCCAAATTTGAAGCTCGGGCCGCGGTTGTTCGCTTTCTTACCTACAATTTTAAAATCAAAATTAATATAAAAAAACTCCCTAAAAACCTTCCCAAAAAACAAACTTACCCTCCTCACTCCTCGCATTCTCCGACTCACTGACGGCCGCCTCACAGGCCGCCTGCAGCTGCGCGGCAATTCGCTGCAGGTCGGGCAGCGGCTTCTCCTGCAGCTCCGCGTCGATGGCAATCGACTCGAGCCGCTTCAGGGGGGCGCCAAACTTCTTGAAGCTCTTCACAAAGCGGCGAATCTCCGCCTCGCTGAAGCCCTTGATCGGCTCCTTCTTTCCCGAGGAGGGGCGGCCCCGCGATTTTCGAGACCTTCCACCACCACCTCCTGTTCCTCCATCCGAATCCTCCGACCCTGATTCCTTCTGATTGGGATCGTATTCCTCTGAATCAGATCCTTTCACCTGTTGTTGTCCCGCCTGGTGAAGCTGCTGCTTAGTTCGACTTCGGGGGCCGACCATCAGCACCTCCATCTGCTCCTTTGCCCGCTGTTCCTCCTCCGCCTTCAGGCGGTCCGCTTCGGGGATGATTTCGTCCCAGTCTTTGGAGTCCGTTGGAGCAACTGAGGTAGTCGAAGTAGCAGCCACCGCATTCGCCACATCCTCCTCCTCATTAAAGTTGAAGCTGGCCACCTTGAAGGAGCTCAGAAGCTCATCGCCCAACGTCTGCGGCCCGTCGTCCTCCTCCCGTGTTTCCGCCCTTTTTAGAATCTCATCAATGTCGCACTGAGGTTCCGCCTCTTCTCCGCCTTCTTCCCCTCCAGTACTGTCTTTAAACAGTTCCGCAGCGCCAAACTTGAGAATCGCCGACAGCTCCTCCTTGTTAAAGGGCGTCGTAGAATTTGCCGAAGCAGCAACTGAAGATGAAGAATTTCCTCCTCTTGAGGAGTTTTCACTGCTCTTCGCCTGCAGCACCGTCCGCCCGCTGGTGTCCATCCGCTGGATCACAAGGTGGTCGAGGACCATCTTCCGCTTCGCCCGCTCGATAATGTCCTCCTCGACGCTGCCCTTCGTCACCAGCCGATAGATGTTGACCTGATTCTTCTGGCCAATTCGATGGGCCCGGGCCTGCGCCTGCAGATCGTTCTGCGGATTCCAGTCCGAGTCAAAGATGATGACGGTGTCCGCCGTGGCGAGATTAATTCCCAGGCCTCCAGCTCGGGTAGAGAGTAGAAAGCAGAAATCGGCCGAGCCCTCGGCATTAAAGTGCTCCAGCGCCTGCTTTCTCACTTCTCCTCGAATCGACCCGTCCAGCCGCTGATAGGGAAACCGTCGCAGCGACAGGTACTCCCCCAGAATGTCCAACATGCGCACCATCTGCGAGAAGATCAGCACCCGGTGACCGGTCTCCTTCAGCCGACAGAGGAGCTTATCAAGCAGCAGCAGCTTCCCCGAGCCTCTGATCAGCCGCTGCAGCTGGTCCAGCGAGCTGCCATTTGGAAGGCCACTGTCTTCCATTGGCCTGATCAGCGTCGCGTGGTTGCAGCACTTCTTCAGCTCCATGATGATGTTGGTGAAGCCGCTCAGACTGCCCTTCACCCCCTTCGACAGGGCCTTGTAGTTCTTCGTCAGGATCCACTTGTAGTACTGCTTCTGCACGGTGGTCATCTCCACGCGGAGAATCTGCTCCACCTTCGCCGGAAGCGACTTCTCGACGTCTTTCTTCACCCGCCGCAAGAGGTACTGCTGAATCTGCCCGTGCAGTTTGCTGAAGCCCTTCGAGTAGGAGTCATTGTGCTCCGCCTCAAAGTGCTCCCAGCTGCTAAAACGGTCGGGCATAATAAAGTGCAGGAGGGCCCACAGTTCTCTTAGGGAGTTTTGAAGGGGCGTTCCGGTTATGAGCAGGCGGTGGTTGGTCTGAAACTCAAAGAGGTACTTGTAGAGGAAGGACTCGTCGTTCTTCAGGCGGTGGGCCTCGTCCACCGCCAGGCTGGCCCACTGAATCGGCGAGAGGAAGGCCTTGTCCCGCAGGAGAATCTCATAGGTGGTGAGGAGGGCGTTGAACTTCAGGCGACTGTTTCCTGGGTGGGCCCACTCGTAGCTGCGGATCATGTTCCGCGAGACGGCATCGCCCAGGTAGACCACCACATTCATCTCCGGCGCCCAGTTTTCAAACTCCCGCTGCCAGGCAGTTAAAGTGGAGAGGGGAACGACCAACAGGAAAGGGCCGTAAAGCTCGTGCTCATGGTAGAGGTAGTTGAAGAAGGAGATGGTCTGAATGGTCTTCCCCAGGCCCATCTCATCTGCCAGGATCACCGAGTGCTGCTTGCACCAGCTCTGCACTAGCCAATTGAGGCCGTCGAGCTGATAATCCCTCAGGACCATCTTCTCCTTGCCGCCTATAAAGTCGGGCTGAGCTTTGAGGGGCACAAATTTAGGACGCGTTTTTAGCGCCCGACAGAACTTGTGCGGAATGTTCTGCGACTTCTGGCGGGCGTAGTACTCGGCGACCTTGGCGGGGAAGCGGCGCTGGGTGAAGGCGCCCTCCTCCCAGGTGCACTCGCTGTAGGGGAGGCCGTCCCACTTGCAGAGGTACTCCGGGTGGCAGGTTGCTGTGGTGTCGGAACCGTTGTTTTCGTTGAGGCCTGTAGCAGCAGCAGCAGCAGCAGCAGCAGCAGTGTTTGGCAGCTGGTGGGCGATGATGCGTTCGACATTTAAGTGAAGTGCTCTCAGCTGCTCATTCAGCTCCTCCTGGCACTCGTAGTAGTCAATGTCCTCGGGAGAGGCGTAGGATCGCCTAAAGAATTTTAGATTTTAGGAAAAAGGTAAACAAAGACAAAAAGGTAAACAAACAAAAATAGAACACTTACCAGTGCTTAATCTCCTCCTCTCGCTTAATATAGTTCTCAATCTTCTTCACGCCGCGGGCCTTCTCCGCCGCCAGCGACTCCTTCGATTCCCAAGTGCAGTGAATGTAGCTAAAGTTCTTCCACTTGATGAGAAACTGCAGCTCCCGCTCCGGTTCCTCTTCCGGAACCGGGTCCTCATCTTCTGCGACCTCCCCCTCCTCCGTGTCGACTTCCTTCTTCTTCTTGACGATCACATTCGGATCTCCATTTTCCTCCACCTGGTAGCGGGTCGTCTTGAGGCCGGTCGCCCCCTTCACGCCCATCCGGTGCTCGAGGATCTTCTCAATCAGCTCGCCCTCCTCTTCGGGAGGTAGAAGAGCTATGGGCTGGCCGTTTTCGTCCAGAGCAGGAGCAGCTGTTTCCTGCTCTGCAGAAGTTCCATCACCCACCGGAACCAGGTCGTCCTCGTCGGTGTAGTCGCTGTCCTCCTTGTAGCTAATGGTCTTCGTGTTCACCGTCCGCCGGGAGGAGGTCTTCTTGGGGGCGCTGCTTCGAGAGTTGTCCTCGTCGCTGCCAAAGTCTGAGCCGTCGGAATGTCGTTGAGTTCGATGACTGTTTCGCTGTTCAGCTGCTGCTCCTCGACGACGGCTTTTGTTGCCTGCTGAAGAGCCCGCAGAAGTGGGCTTTCTTCTGCGAGAGGAATGCTTTTTAGAAGCTGCAGCAGCGGCCTTTGCTCGTCGCCGTCGCTTTTGGTAGTCGTCATCGTCGCTGTCCTCTTCCTCCTCCTCCTCCTCACTGCTTTCATCATCGTCGTCATCATCTTTTTCGTCATCTTGATCATCATCATCATCGTCGTCGTGGCCTTCATCACCACCGACCTTTCCTCTGTGGCGAGAGTTCCAGTCATCGGAGCTGGGAGAAAGAAGAAGTAGAACGTTCGATTTAGAACAAAGTTCAAGAATTTAGAACCGTCAACAGCAGCAAAAGCTCATCACTTACTCTTTTCTCCTCTTTCTCGTCTTGGAGCGAGCACTTTGCTGCTTCCCGGGAGAATGGTGGTCACTGTCGCCATTATCATCTGAATCAGAGCCATGTGTGGCCGCCTGGAAGCGCTCCGGCTCCCGGCGAGAACGGCCCGAGCGGCGCAGGGCATCGGGAAAGTTCTCCAACAGCTGAGCAGGGAAGAGGAGAAATAGAACCGGTAAATAGAAATTCGAAACCATTTCGAAACACAACACCCAACACCTACCTCCTTGAAATCCGCCTTCGAAGTGTTCTCTCTGGAACGACTCGTCGTCGTCGTCGAAGAAGAAAGGCCACCAATATCGCCGCCACCACCAGAGGCGGCAGCAGCTGCGGCGGCGCTGGCGCTGATGGACAGTTGTTTTGGTGAGCCGCCGCCGCCGCCGTCGCTTGAGTCTGCATCGGAGTCTTCACTGCCTGGTGGCGAGGACTGCAGACGATGTGATCTGATGGTGACATCAAAGAATCAGAATCGAAAGAGGTAAACAAAACAGGTCGCCCAAACAAAATAGAAACCAAAAGCAAAACAAACAGAACTTACCGGCTGTCCTCGTCCTCGCCGCTGCTATGCTTCTGCTGCTGCTGCTGTCCCTTCTCAGCAGACTTGTTCAGCGAAGAGTCCTCTTCCTCATGGTCACTGGAATCTGAACCTGAAGAGGAGTCACTTCCTGAGGAGGAGGAAGAAGAGGAAGCCGAGGAGGAGGCCGAGGAGTTGCGGGATGAACCCGAATCGGAGTGGTGGCCAGAGGCAGCAGCACCAGCCGAACCTTGGCCAGCTCTTGCCTCACCGCCGCCGCCGCCGACGCCATCAGCGCTCTCCTCCTCATCCTGCTGGTACATCAGCATCTTCTGCTAGGTCAGGTCACGACCGGCTGAACTTCGAGGTGGTGGTGATGGTCCAAGATCAAAACAAAAACAACAAATGGTCGCGGTCAGAAAAGGTCGTCGTCTGAAAGTAGAAACACTCTCGGTGCTGTGCTGCTGCGGCCGACGCTGCAAAAAGTCTGCTACGACACTGGCACTGCTGCACACACGGCTCACACACAGAGAACGAGCAACTGCTCGCCAGCTACTTTTCCTTTGCTTTGCCACCACCACTCGCTCGCTCCTGAGCGCCACAGCTCTCCTAAACCTAGAACCACTTCTTCTTCTTCCTTTCCTTTCTTTAGTGGCTCTGATCGACTGTAAAATGGCCGACCAACTAAACCTTTGTGGTGGAAATAGAAAGAAGTGGTGAAAGAAAACGCCGGCAATGATCATTGGGATTGGAAGACAAGAGTGTACAGAGGTAGAGTGTGTTTGGCTTTGAGTGGAAGTGCCTTTAATTTGGACAAGAGGATATAGAGGGAAGGAAGGAAGGTACATCATCATCGAATTGGGCGGTGACCGAGTCGGGACATCAGAGGTGAAGGTGGTGTTGCCAACAAGACATCGAGGACGTTGGTGATGTGTACAGTGACTGCTGTACATTGATGATAATGGCAATGGTGATCATCAGAAGCACCAGCAAAGAAGGTGACCCACTGGAATCGGAGTTGGTGGTGATGAAGTCTGAGATAGATGGAGTCTCATTTCCGGTACAGCTGATGATGAACTCGAGGAAGATGATCAACTGATGCACGCGCAAACCAACAACTCAACTCAGTTGGTCAGTTGCAGTCTGGTGGTGGTGGTGAAGAAGGTGCAGATCAGCATTGTCATTATGGGCGGACATTGAAAAGGTCCGGCGTGACAATAAACTCCCGCACACAAGTGCAGTGGCAATGGAGTTGACCACGTGTGCTGATGATGGTGGTAATGTGCAGTTGTTGTTGTTGTTTACGATGGAGGTTCGTGATGGTAATGACAGTGGTGGTGGGGACACTTCAGCTCAGGCTGACACATTGAGCATCACCCTCCAGTTGGAGCTCATCAGAGTCATCGGAAGTTGTAGTAGTAGTTGTGGAGGTAGTCCACAATCTGAAAAAGAGAAAAGGTGTCACTTAGTGAATCAGTAAAGGAGGTTAAAAGATTAATGAGGGTAGTGAACATTCAACAGTAGTCCAACATCTGCAACAGCCTCAGATACACATGGTAAAACAATCATCACATGGTCTACAAATGAAAACTGAACAGATTGGCACACTTTTAGAACTCAAAAGCTCATGTAAATAAAAATAGCAGTTTAGCATCATCGTCTTTTTCTTTTTAGCTACTAGTGACCCTCAATTGTAGTTAGCGGCGATGATCATAAAAGGCAAACTCTAATCAGCTATTGTACAAAAGGGGTCTCTGTACAAAAGAACCATTCTCGGGCAATGAAAACCGGAAGAGAGAATGGGGCACACTAAATTTGGTGACCTTGAGACTGCTCACCCTGCTCAGGTGAGAGATAGTACAGAGCGGTAGTGATGAGGATGGTCATCCCCTTTATCAATCATCTCAAGTGTCACCCAAACGGAACAGGTGTCCCCGGTGACCTCTGCCCTCTCACCTATGACCTGAAAACTAAATAACGCTCCAAAAGTGATAAAACAAAAGAAAACGACAAAAGGGGGCTAATCAAGGGGTAAAAAGTGTCATTAAAATTCACAAGAGTGAGATAAAGTGTAAGGTGAAATGTACGCATCCTTATTTTGCCCCTCCCAATTAGGTTCGTGAGAGCGGCAGGTAAGAGGAATTGCGCGACGATTACTTTAGCAGACGTTTCCCAAGTCATTGGCCATTGAACAATGGATAGACCAGCGCTTGAATAGACGAGTGCAGTGAGTGAATAGAATTCAAAGGGACAGCTTTTGTATAAACATTTAGGGGGCGTTTCCTGAAAAGGCCTAGCGAATTTAGGTCTAGGGTCTCAACAGACAGAAAAATAACATGAAAAGAAAAGCAGTTGACTAGAACCCTGGCAGACAGCAAAAGGGTAAACTAGTCAACAATGCCACACCCCTTTCATAGGTGATAATTAGAACGATTGATCGATTGATTGGAGATGATGAAAGTGGCAAAATCTGAAAAGTTTGATTGAATGTTTTGAATCACTATTTGCTGAGCAGAGAGAAAAGTGCACACTCTATGCTGAATATAGCAAAGACTTCCTGTAGGTAAAGAGTGCATTGAAACATAGGACCAGAAAACCGAAAATTAGTTCAAGTCCCGAGAACCAAAGAGTGGTCAGGAGTGTTTCAAAAGATAAAGTAGTTGAGTCTAGTTTGGCAGAAAGAATGTTTGGTGATCATAAAATGCATTCCCACTTTTGTACTGGTAACTCTTGCTGTTAGAGAAAGGGCAATGTTACTGTGCAAAGGCAAACTGCGTAGTGGCATTTCTGGTAGAAAATACTGGTCAAAAGAAAAGACAAACATTGAAGAGAGGACAAAGGGAAGAAGTCAAACTGAAAGTGGGAGGAAGATCATCTCGGCAAAGTGAGTTGAGTTCGCCAGCAAGTACTAGCGAGCTCAACACTTTGCCAGCAGAAGACCAAAGCAAAGCTTTGAGCTGATGACCTCCAAGCGTCCTCAAGCAGAGTAGGACACGTAGGCAGATTTGCGCCAAAGGAGGAAAGATCGAGACTAGTCGCGCGGTGTTGAACAGATGTTGGACTTGGAGAAAGGGACACAGAGAGGGAAAGAGTCAAAAAGACGTACCTTAAAGAAAGTAAAGGTAAAACCAGAGAGAGACAACTTCGTCCTTAGCAAGCTTGCGTCAAGGGCGTTGGCTGAGAGCGCTCACCAAATGAGGACACACTCAGGCAGCTACACTTCAAACGCCCGTCTTCTCGAGAACACACAAAGTGGTCCTCATCGCAGAGACTTGTTCAAAGTCCTGAGAGCCTGATTGGGAAAAGAAACCAAAAGTTAGGGCCTGAAAGTAGAACACGCTACGCAGAACACTTACCTTTGAGAAAGGCAGCTCGGTGGCGGCCATCTTTTTCCTTCCTCTGCCATGCTTTGCAGCAGCCAAGGCTGCCAAAGCTCTTGTGAGGAGCGCTTGAAGTCGGCGGATTCGCTGCGATCCTAAGGAGCATTCAGTTCAGGTCATGGTGGTGGTGGTGCTGGTACCAGGCCGAAGATGTCCTCCTCTTGACGATAATGGTGGTGGTGGCCTACGTGGCAACGACGACGGCTATGGTGGTGGTGAAGGAAGCTCGGTCTTGGCCATCTTTCCTCGGAGAGCAAATAATGCTGCTGCTGCTGCTCGGAGGAAGGAGAGAAACGTTGCGACTGCCCTGGCCGAAAGCGGGCGAGCAAGTGAACGATCTGGAAAAGCTGAGGCGCAAATGCGCGCTTGGCCGAGCCAGGCGAGCGAGCAGCAAATGAGAAGGCCGCAAAGGCTCACCACAGCGGCTATAGAGGCGAGGGCAGTGGCACTGCCGATAGGCACTGAGGCTGCTGTGGTGGTGGTGTGAAATGACTTGCTCCTGGCGACGAGATTGTTTCGCTCCTCTGCGCCGTCGCCGTCGTGGGAACGGAACGGAACAAAAAAAAGTGGAAACGGGGATGAATGTGTGTGCTCGGAAAAGTTCTGGGAATGGAAATGAAATGAGCTGGTGTATTTCAGTGTACGTGAAGAGGAAGAGGGGAATCTAAAGGAGAAGGTAGAGGACAGTTAGAAACAGAGTTGGGAACTTCAAAGCTTGGCAGCCAAAACAGATGGAGAGAAATAGAACTCGTAGGCAGCTGTTTGGAAATTGTTTTATCCTATACAAAAGCTAGGGCATCAAACAGACTTACCTGGGTTGATCACTGAGAGAATCCAGAATCCAAAGCAGCAAAGAATCTAGAGAAAAGGAAAAGGGATCCTAGCTTCCGCTTTTGAAGAAAAACAGGCAGGCTGGATTGAGCAAGAGACAGAGAGAGGAGAAAGTCTTTCCGAAAGCCAAAAAGCGGAAACTTCTGCTCGAGGCGCCGCCTGTCGACAACAAAGAGAACCTGGAGGAAAATGTGCTGACCACGTGATTCACCAGAAAGCACACGCGCTTTTGTGTTTACAATCCGGTGGGAGTTTATTTCACCAGGCAAAACAGTCCACCAATTTTGTATCCCAGATCATCTTAACAATCATCATCATCGCCAGAATCCGAAAAAGAATCCTCTTCCGTCTCTTCTATCCAGTGCTTCAGTAGTGCGATTGCGTAAGAGCGTCAGGATTCTGCAGCAGCAGCTGGGGCAGTACCGCACTTGAATTGCACCTTCGATTCTGCCCCACCGTACTCTGCGATTAGCCCACTGTACGACACTAGCTCGCAAGTTCTTCTGCTTTTTCTCGTTTCTCGCGTGGATTTCTATCTCCTTTCTCATTTTCAACCCGAAAAAGCGAAGCGCCAGCCTAACCAGAAACGGGTGCTCGGATCCGCCGTCAGACGTCACCAGCTTCTTCTTCCAACTAACCAGAAAGTGTGTCCTGTACAGCAGCAGCACATCTGGTGCTCCCTCTCGTTCTCTCTCCTTAGCCGTGACCGACTGTACAGCAGCCAGCCACCAACAACAATCTCTCAGAGTGTGTGTGTGTGTTGAGCAGAACAAGAGAGAATCTCCATCTCATCATCAGCAACAGAATCCTCATCATCATCACCTTTTGACGATCACAACCGATTTCTAATCACCCCTCATCGATAAAGACCTTTTCTCTTCACCTTCAGAAGTGATCACATCCACAACGAAACCAGCATGCATAGGACACTTGTGAGTTGAAGAGCAGCCTTTCTAATCTAATCTAGCGTTTCTAATTTCTTTTTTACCCTCCTAAACACAACACAGAAGCCATTTCTAAATTGCCTCATCCGAGGAGCTACTCCCCGCTCCGCCGCCCTGGGCAGCATCCGCAGCGAGTCCACCGTCGTGACCTTGATTCCCGGCGACGGCATCGGCCCGGAGATTTCCGCCTCCGTGCAGCAGATCTTCGAGGCGGCGAAGGTCCCGATCACCTGGGAGAAGGTCGATGTGACGCCCGTGAAAGGGCCCGACGGCCGCTTCAGCATCCCCCAGAAGGCCATCGACTCGATTCTGAAGAACCGCATCGGCCTGAAGGGGCCGCTGGCGACGCCGATCGGCAAGGGCCACCGCTCGCTCAATTTGGAGATTCGAAAGTAGGTGGAAGATTTTAATTTCGAAATCACCTAATCTCTCTTTTTCCCTCTTCTTTTCAGGGTCTTCTCCCTCTACGCCAACATCCGCCCCTGTCGCTCGGTGGAGGGCTACAAGACGCTGTACGACGACGTGGACATTGTGACGATTCGGGAGAACACCGAGGGCGAGTACAGTGGCATTGAGCATGAGGTAACGTCGAATCCTTTTTATCTTCTTTTTAATCTAATCTCATCTTTCTTTTTCAGATCGTCTCCGGCGTCGTCCAGTCGATCAAGCTGATCACCGAGCCGGCGAGCCGTCGCGTCGCCGAGTACGCCTTTGAGTATGCGAAGGCAAACGGTCGGAAGACGGTGACGGCGGTCCATAAGGCCAACATTATGTAAGTGTGATTTAGAAACTTCGATTTAATCATTTCCGGCTCTAAAACCTCAAATCCTTTTTAGGCGAATGTCCGACGGCCTCTTCCTGCAGTGCTGTCGCGAGACGGCGGAGAAGCACCCGGAGATCAAGTACAAGGAGATGTACCTGGACACGGTCTGCCTCAACGTAAGTACCTCTTGAAACCTTTTTTCTATTTTGAACATTTTCGAAACAACATTTTTCTCCTTAGATGGTGCAAGACCCCTCCCGCTTCGACGTGCTCGTCATGCCCAACCTCTACGGCGACATCCTCTCCGACCTCTGCGCCGGCCTCATCGGCGGCCTCGGCATCACGCCCTCGGGAAACATCGGCAAGGAGGGGGCCGTCTTCGAATCCGTCCACGGCACCGCCCCCGACATTGCCGGCCAGGACAAGGCCAACCCCACCGCCCTCCTCCTCTCCGCCATCATGATGCTGCGGTACATGAAGCTGAACCAGTACGCGGACAACATCGAACGGGCCTGCTTTGATGTCATCCGCGAGGGTCGCCTGCTGACCGGCGATCTAGGAGGTAAGGCGACCTGCAGCGAGTTCACCGCGGAGATTATCAAGAACCTCAAGTGAAGTGAGAAGAAGAAGACCATCACATCTTCAAAAATCCCTGCGCTTTGACCATCTCGTAACTTTTTGTTGTTTTTCGTTTTGCTGATGATCTTATCCTTCTCCTCCTCTTCGAGTGTTGCTACCCTTTCCCACCACCACCTCCATCAATCCCAAGAGCATCAATCCCGGTTCTCTCCTCTCTCTCCTTAAACACACACACCTAGGCTAGTATTTATTATTCTAATTGCTATATTACCGCTAACTAATCGCCCTAAAGTGATCCCCTCTTTCAATTTTTGTTGTTGTTACTATTTATTATTATTTCAATTTTAAATTAAACGATGATGATGATAAGGATGAAAATGGGTGAACAAGAAAAGCTAAAGAGTACAATCAAAAGATAAAGAAGAGGGGATAACAAAGTGTTGATGAGATGAGAAAAAGACTATTTCCACCTAGGTCTAGGTCATAATCTGCCTCGCCCGCCGGTACCGCCCCCTAATTGCCTCCGCCTCCGCGGCACTGCCCGCCCTTTCCCCCTCACAGGAGAAACATTGGGCGGGGAGGTAGGCGGCGGCCAGCGCCAGACTGCCCGCCCAGTCGTGCTCGTCGTTCAGAGAGCTCGTCTCCTCGCCTCCGCCGCCTCCCGAACCGGAAGTACTCAAAGAATTCGAACTTGAAACAGCACTTCCGCTTCCATTGACGCAGATGATCGAGGTGGAGTCCCCTGCTCCGGCGCCCCGCTTCCTAAGCGCCCTGCTAAAGTAGTGCTGCGCCACGAGGGGATTAGTTCCGGCCACCAGACGATAGGCGCCCTCGTAGAAGTACAGCTTGCTGGCCGCCGAGGGGACCAGGCCACCGGCGACCATGTACCGCAGGGTGGCCAGGTCCTGGCGGAAGCTGCTGATGAAGCGGGCGCGGGCTGAGGAGGAGGAGATCATTTGGCCACTTCCGTTAAAGTCCATCATCGCCTGCCAGAGCTTAATTCGCGTGGCCAGCAGCCAGTCCACGGCGAGCAGCTGATAAGCTTCGAGCAGCTGCTGGTAGCAGTCATCGTACTGGCCGCCGCTGCCGCCATTGGCGGCCGTCGCCTCAAAGGACCGTCGCAGTTCGTAGCTGCCTCGATCTAGGAGCAGTTGATAATTGCGGAAGTTTTTGTTGGAGTTTGAGCTGTTGTTGTTGTTCTTTAGCTGCAGTATCTTCTCCCCCTTCAGGTGGAGGTACTTTCGCAGGCAGCTGGTGAGGAGGAGAGAGATGGCCAGGGAGTTGTTGCGAAGGGCGGGCGGAAAGGCCACCACAACCGAGTTGGCCATCGCCTCATTGTCGGTGATCCAGTAGAAGGCGAGGCGAATCACCTGCGACCACCAGAGGCTGATCTCGTCGCTGTACTGCACCGAGTTCTTCTCCAGCTCATCGATGAGCGCCAAAAATGAGAGGCGGTTGTTGGCAATGGAGGATTTCGTAGTAGAATCCTTAGAATTTTTTGAATCCTTCTCCGAACTGTCCACCACGACAATGCTCACCCCCGGCCTCGGGTTCATCAGCGTCAGAATGCACTTCTTAATGAGGTACTTCCGGTACTTCGCGCCGATGAAGGCCATCGCCGAGCTGACATCCGCCGAGGTGCGAATAAAGATGGACGGCTTCTCAAAGACGTAGCTCCACGTCAGATAGGGTTTGTTGAAGTACCGACGCCCAATCGGCCGCATCAGGAACTGGTCCTCGCGAATGGCCCTCGAACTGGCCCGGATCGCCTTGTGCATAAAGTACCGCGCCCAGAGGCTGTAGCGGCTGCTGTTTTTGAGGAGAATGGCCGTCACGAGGTAGGCCATCGAGCGGTGGCCCTGTTGCTGGGCTGCTGAAGATGAGTTTGAAGATGAAGATGAGTTTGATGAAGAGTCCAAAGACTCGATGGTAAAGGCCTCATTGACGGCCTCAAAGGCGTAGAGGTAGGCGGTCATCGACAGCCGCCCCGAGCGCTCCACCAGCTCAATCATCGCCAGTTTGCAGTAGATGAAGCAGAGGATCTTCGAGGCGAGGTCCTCCTTGTCATTTGAAGAGGAGTTTGAAGTTGCTGAAGTTTTCGAATTCGAAGTTGAAGTCGAGGTTCCTCCCTCCGTTTCCTCCAACTCCTGCTGAGCATGTCGTCTAAGAATGGCCCCCACGTAGAGCTCATTCAGCACGAGCTTTCCAAGCGCTTTTGCCAACATTAGAGCTCTGGGGACAAAGTACCGGGGGACCCGATACGCCCCGTTAATCTCCTCCAGCGCCAGCTCATAATGAGTTTTTGCCGATTTTAGGTCTCCTGATGCGAGGTACTTGTTCGCCCTCGAAAGGTTTCCATTGTGCGCTGCAGGGCTGTAGTTTAGCGTCCGCTTTCGGAAGGCCATCGTAAAGAAGCGGTAGCAGATGGCGATGTTTATCGCCCATATGAGGACGTCCATGATGGAAAAGTTGAGCAGGCGGATCCAGGTGGCGGCGTCAATCTCCTCCGGGTTCATAAAGCTGAGAATGGTGCGGCTGGCGTAGTTTCCTCCTTCCGTGGAAGAAGATGATGAAGAGGGCGAATTTCCATTGCCCATAAAAGAGCCCAGCGGATTGAAGGCGATGATGCTGAGGATGAGGCCAAAGCAGACGATTCGCGTTGGGTCGTTGTAGTTCATCGGGGGCGTGGCCGGCGCCTGCAATCCACTACTGCTGCTATTTCGACCTTCGGTGGTCGTCGCCGTCGAAGCAGGACTGGCCGCTGACATTGGCGAGGAGGCGGAAGAGGCTGAAGAGGGAGAATTCGCTGCAGAGTAGCCTCCTGAAGAGCTCGGATTCTGCTGCTGAGCAGAATTCGATTCCAAAGCCGAGGAGTTGACCGAAGAGTTGACGATGTTGATATTCGCTGCCTTGAGCAGCCGCTTCAGCGCCTCCACCTCCTTCTCCAGCGTCTCATTCCGCCGCCGGAGAAAGGCCACATAGTCAATGACCTTCCGCAGAATGACCGCCTTCTTCAGCTTCGCATCCGGGCCGGCAATGAGGTTCTTCAGCTCGAGGATCTTGTCGTTGATGGAGGAGCGGTAGCGCTTTTCAATGGCATTGTGGGCGGACCGCTTCTCCGGAATGGTCACCAGCGCTTGACCACCGCTTCCCTGAGGTGAGCCGACACTCGAGGACGGGGACATGGACATCATCGAGGCGATGTTTACGTTGATGGGCTGCTGCTGCTGAGGTTGCTGTTTTCCATTGGTGTTTGATACCTTAGCCTGCTGTTGCTGCTGCTGCTGGGCAATCTTCACCACATCAGTGGCATTGTTGGAGAGGATAATCTTTGGATTCTGCTGCTGAGCTGGATTAAAACGCTGAATGGGAACTTTATTTTCAGTTGTGGTAGCAAGTTGAACCAGAGAGCCGCCATCTTTGGACGACTGAAGGATGATCGGCCCCGTTGCTGTGGTGGCAAAGATGGGCTGCTGCTGCTGCTGCTGCTGACCAGGTTTTATGGCAAACTTTACTTGCTGATTTTGGAGAGTTTGCAGATTTGCCGTGGGAATTGTGAAGAAGGTAGGCTGCTGCTGCTGATTTAAGTTATTGGTGGTCAGAATGGTCTTCTGACCAGAACCGGTGTTGGCGGGCAAAATGGTCACAAATTGCGGCAGCTGGTTAGGACCGGTTTGCAGGGCAATTTGAACTGGCTGTTGTTGTTGGCTTTGCTGCTGCTGCTGCTGTGCCATCTGCGCAATCTGCGCCTGAATCGGACTCTTTCGATCTTCCGCCGCCTCCTTGAAGATCACATTGGGCGGCATTTGGTAGAAGACGGTCTGGCCGGTGTCGGTGTTGATGCCGATCAGGCGCTGCTGCTGTGGCTGCTGCTGAAGCTGTTGTTGCTGCTGTCCAGCGTTTGCTGATAGCTGAATCTGCTGAATCGTCTGTTGACTTGCTGAAGTGTTTTGTTGCTGAGCTTGCTGTTGCTGTTGTTGCAGAGTTGGCTTGACAATCTGCACGGCCTTCACTGCCTGGTTGTTGTTGTTTGCACCGTTGTCGACGACGTTGTTGCCGCTGTTGTTGTTAAGCAGCAGCTGACTAATGTCCGGCTTCAGCTCTTCAGTGTTAGATGAAGAAGCAGAAGTCGTTATCATCTGAACGGTTTGCTGAGACTGAATTTGTTGCTGCTGATCGACAAAGTTGAAGCTAAACTGATTGGCAGCGTTGGCATTAAATGCAAAGGGCTTCTGCTGCTGCTGCTGAGGAACAAAGTTGAAGATGTTCTCACCGCTGTTGTTGTTGTTCATCTGAACTGGCTGCTGCTGCTGAGAAAAGCCAAAGCACGAGTTCTGTGCTGTGAACTGCTGAGTATTGCCACTGCTGCCGTTGCTGTTGTTTGAAACATTAAAGCTCGGCTGCTGCTGCTTGCAACTGCTATCGTCAAAGGACGAGGACAGATTCAGATCTGAGGCAGAGGAGGAGAAGGCGTCCATGGTCAGGTCGGCCATCAGATGGTCGTCAGAGAGGTTGATGCTCTCTAGCAGTGTGTCAAAGTTCTCGTCCTTCAGGTCCTGCAGCAGCATGGCGTCGTCCAGGTCGGGGAAGACGCTGGTAGCCCAGCTGGCGGAGCCGTCCATGATGAAGTTCGGGTTAGAAGCGAACAGGTCAATGTCAAAGGGAAGCTGCTGGTCGAGCTGGTTTGAGTTGTTACTGTTGTTGACTGAGAACTGCTGCTGCTGCGACTGCTGTTGCTGCTGCTGCTGTGACAAAGACGAGAGTGGGACGTTGGTGTTCATGTTTGAAGTGGTGGTGGTGATGATGGGGTGATCAAAGATGGATTTGCGAGATGATGAGGTGACTATCAAAGAGACAACCCAGCCAGCTAAAGGCGGTCAGGGATGCTACAGCTCAGGTGAGCTTAAGATGAAGAAGGTATCTCCAAGTGAGTGCTATGAAAGAAGAAAGAGAAGAAGAAGGAGTTGGCAATTAGTTAACGAAACGAAGGTGTTGGTAGTATCACACCAGTCGAAAATAGTGAAAGAGAAAACATACGACTAAGGAGTGAAGAAATGCAAGAGAAAGCCTGAGAAAGATTGCGTGAGCTTTGAAGGTTGCTCACTCTCGAGTGAGAGAGTTTTGTCTGGTGAGTGTGTGCTGTGTTGATGCTTTGGTGGTAGAACTGTCGTACAACTGTAGAAGAGAAAGAGAGTACAAGGATCCTTGATGGCGGTGGTGAGAGAAATAGAAACGAAAAATGAAAAGCAGTTTTCGGTGGCGTGACCAGGGAAAGAGAGAGAGACAGAGCGTCTGATTTCGAACTGATTTTCGGAAGACCACTGCTGCTGCGGAGAAGATGATGAGCCTCGGTGTCAGTGCCTCCAGTGATTCACTTAGTGGAAGTGTCCACGACCAGACAGCAGAGGTATCCTCGATCGCGTGTTTTGCCGACTTTTTGCGCTCTGGCCACAACATCGGACGATCAGGCGGAGCTTACTGGCGGAGACAGCCTTGTCACACAGGCAAAAGAGAAAGAGAAAGAGAAAGAGAACTGACGTCAGGAGTTTGTGCTTGCTCTTTCTCTCCTCTTGCGCTGCGCTTGGTACATCACGCCAATACGGTGTGCTGGTGCTTTTGCTGCTGCTGCTGCTGTTGCCAACAAGAAAATGTGAGGAGAGAGTGGACTGTAGTTTGCATTTGGTTGAGTGACTCTCGCGCTTTGAGGATTTGGCGCCAAACGCTGGTGCTGCTGCTTTTGGTGGTGACTCTTTTCTGGTTGTTGTTCATCAGTGTAGTTGAGAATATGTTTTTGGATGAGTTTTGTTTTTTGTTTTTGGGGAAGTTTATCCGAAAAAATGTGAGAAAAATAATGATGTTTTCTTTTTGACCAGGTTTTAGGAATGTTGACCGATTTTTGGGTGCTAAAAAAATCAAGAGAAGATGAGGAAGGCGAGTACTTTCCTTCTGCTGCTGCTGGTGAAGCAGGATGATAAGCAGCAGCAGCAGTGTGTCGTCTGCAGATGATGATTTCTATTATTTCGTAATCTTTACCACGACGACGACGATGATCACACTTCACTGAGGTACACATGTTTGTTGTTGTTTTTGCTGTTGCTGCTGCTGATGAAAGCACTCAAAACATGATCGCCCGAAATCTCTTCAGTCAAATATCTTTGAAATCTGGTGTTCATCTTCGTGGTCTCTCTACCAAAGGTGAGGATGATGATGATGATAATGACAAGTAGAACTTCATTTTAACTTCCTCTTTTTCAGCTTCTTACGAGTTCATCAAAGTCGAGCGACGAGGTGCCCAGGAAAATGTGGGCCTAGTGGCCTTCAACCGCCCAAAAGCCCTCAATGCCATCTCCAATGGACTGATGAGCGAGCTGATACAGGCGCTGAAGACCTTTGACCAAGATGAGAAGATTGGCGCCATCATCATCACCGGCTCGGAGAAGCTCTTTACCGGTGAGTTTAATTCGGTTTTGCTGTTCCATCTTCTAAAACCTCGATTCCAATCTTCAGCTGGCGCCGATATTAAACAGATGGGCGCCCAGGACCTGGAGCAGATCTTCCTCAGCCGCTTTCCCGCCCAGTGGGACCAGATTTCCACCGAGGTCTCAAAACCGATCATCGCCGCCGTCAACGGCTTTGCCGTGAGTTTGTTTACATTTTCTGTTTTGGAGTTCTGACGTTCTATTTCTCCTGATTTTTGTTGCAGTTCGGCGGCGGCTGCGAGATTTCGATGATGGCTGACATAGTCTACGCCGGCGAGGGCGCTCAGTTTGGCCTGCCTGAAGTTCGAATTGGGACCTGTCCCGGGGCGGGGGGAACTCAAAGGCTAACGAGGGCCATCGGAAAGTTTCGGGCGATGGAGATGATACTGACGGGGTTGCCGATGACTGCTGAAGAGGCTTTAAAAGCTGGTAAGCTTTGGAGTGGCTTTCGATTTGGGTCGACATTTTCAAACCCTTTCTTTCCCTTTTAGGTCTGGTGAGCAAGATCTTCCCAGCGGAAAGGCTGCTCGAGGAGGCGGTAAAGCTGGGCGAAACGATCTCCGAGAAGACCTCAAAGCTGACCAGCGCCGCGGCGAAGGCTGCAGTGAATGCTTCGCAGGAGACGACACTGAAACAAGGTCTGGAAACGGAGCGACGGCTCTTTCAGATGACCTTTGCCACGGTAAGATTTTGTTGATGTTTTGACGACAGCGATGATAATGAACTTCTCTTTTCCCACTAGAACGACCAAAAGGAGGGCATGGCCGCCTTTCTGGAAAAGCGAAAGGCCAACTTTACCGATTCCTAGGATTCTGTTTCTATTTGTTTCCAATTACCTCTTCGGCAATAAAGGAAGCACAACAGGTGGCAGGTAGTGCAAACTTCTTTACAAAGTTCGAAAAAGGAGATATCTTGAGCCCTCTTGCGCCTTCTATCGATTGATCTAGAATCGATTTCTGCAAAGGGGGAGGAGCCAAGAAGGCCTTTGGCCCTTGTCCGAGAGCGCTCTCGCTCTCTCTCGTCTTGAGCACACACAGGTAACGGACACAAAAAGAAGAAAGCTGCTCTTTTTGTAAACACGCTCTACAAAAGTCGAAATTAGGTGAAAAACTTTTTTTTGCCTCTTTTTCTTCAACCTCGACCGAATCATATAGTAAGCCTTCCCTTCTCATCTCTACTTTTTCTTCGAAGAGAAGTCTTTAAATCGTCTATATAATCAAACTCGCCTACTCTTTCTTCCTTCTCTCTCACCAATTTCACTCTCCAACACTCACGCTGGACACTCTCTCTCGTTTGTGTTGTGAAACAGAGAGGAGAAGAAAGTCGAAAGAAAGAGGAGAGATGCGGCAAGTGTGTGAACCTCTCTCTGTCGTTCAGTCGTCGTTGTTGTTGTTGTTAGTCTTCCACACTCCAAACACTTAAAACACTCGTCAAGTGATAACCGCAGCTTGTCAAAATCTGGTAGTCAACAATCTCTCTCTCTCTCTCTCTCCCTGAAAGCTCTCTGATAACATCTGATTTCGTTTGGAATTTGTTGTCATCATCATCATCACCAAACAGAAGAACCAGAGGAAGAGGATGTCATTGCCTTACTGAGCTTTTGAAGCGGAGAAATTGTTTGTTTTGTTTCGATTTTGTTTTTGTTTTGTTTTCACTTATTTTGTCCGTGATTTCGACAAGCTGCTGAAAAGAAGTCATCGGTGCTCGTGTGCTTAAAGCGTCAAAGTGTCACCTTTAACTGCCAGTCACACACTGTTTTGTAGTTGTTGTTTTCACTAGTGTCAGCGCTTTGATCTCATCAAAATTAACAACATCATCAACTTCGGCAGCAGCAGCAGCAGCAGCAAAAAATGTGCTTTTGAAGCAAATTCAGCGGCTTATCACGCTTCATACCTCGAGTTTATCAACAAACTATCTCGCACTCTTCCTCTTATCATCACAATCTTTGACATCATCATCAACAGCTGCTGCTGCTGTGCAGACAGAAAAAATACCCCATTCATAGCAAAAATAATCCGCTTGCTCAGCGTGCTTCAAAACTCGCCTAAAAGTTGCAATCACTTGTATTTTGTTAAATGCCAAAAGGTTGAAACAGTAGAGTGTTCTACAACAGCAAGTTCACCTCCTCTCTTCAACCTCGAAACAGTTTACACCACTGCCAAGCCTAGTGGTCGTCGTTGAGGCGACTGCAAATTGACCGTAGAAGCTAGAAAAGCAGCCTCGCTCTGTCAAATTCTTTTTATCAGCATTCATCAACAACAACAACAACACTCACCTCATTGGCATCCTCATCATTTCTCTCTCTCTCTCTCTCTCCCTCTTTCGCTTTCATCATCATCACTATACATAATCATCATCACCATTATTTCCTCATCCTCATCATGACTCGAACCGAAGTTCTGAGCGACATCGTCGACATGAACATTCCGCCGGTTCGCGAGGTGCCCAACAGTCTAGTCATCTACACCGACGGCAGCTGGGCCGAGGACGAGCCGTACGCAGGTAAACAACAACATTTTCCTTCTTGTTATGGCTGAAAACCTAGCTCAACAATTTTCCCTTCTACTTTATTGCTCATAATTTTCCCAGGATCCCTTTTTGTAGTTTGCTTTTTTTAGCTAGCCACAGCTTTTGTTATCGTTCTTAGAATCACATTTAGTACACCTTTGCTTTAGTCAGGAAACGGGTTTTTGTGCTCACTACAAAACGACGACGACCACTTCGGCAGCGGCTATTTTACAGAGAAAGAAGTAATTTATGATTAGTTTAGTCAGTCGAAGAAGAGGAGAAGAAAAATGCCTTGTGTCTGCAACTACGGCGTAGCTGCTGCAGCAGAAGTCTTGTCCAGTGTGTTTGTGTGCATTTTATGTGTGTTCTTTTCTTCTACTTTACGATCAGACTTCAATAGAAGCTCACATTTTAGTAGCATTGAAAACGAGAAAGCGAGTGGCCACTGACAAGGTCGACGACGACGACGACCAAGTCGAAGTCGAGGGTGTGCGACTGCACACACGTTCTAGTTCTAAACTGTCTGTCTGTTCTGTACAAGTTAATGCAACAGTCTTTTTCTCTTTCTCTCTTTGGCGTTCAAAGTGAGAGAGAGAAAACTACTGCCTACTGCTTTGGAGTTGGTAGACACTGAACGCATGACTGGGCGAAAACGTTCGTTTTCCTTTTACAGAAAAGCAGTTCACTCTCGCTTTCACAAAGAAAGCTCGAAAGAGCTCTACTTTTAATTAAAGCAAACTTTTAATCCTGCAGAGTGGTAGTAGGTTGCGGGCTTTAGGCTTTGTGAAGCCTTTGTGTAAATCAAAAATCTATTTTATATGGTAATTTCATTACGAAAAGAGAGGGGGAATCCACAAAATAATGAAAACTTTTGCTAAAGGGCAAACACACAGAGGGGCTCTGCTTGGGAAAATTGAAATGTTTTGAGCTGTGTAAATATTTGAGTTGAAAACTTCCTTTGTTGAGTTTCTGCTTACAGCGTTATAATCTCACTAAAAGCACATTCTAAAAATCCTTCTGTTTCCTTTCCTTTTGCACAGGAGTCGGCGTGTACATTCCCGCGCTGAAACTGCGCTTCAGCGCCCGCCTGCACGGCCCCAAATCCGAGCAGAACATCGACCGGGCGGAAATTCAGGCCGCCGTGACCGCTCTGAAAATCGCCTACCACTACCGAGGTCGGTTTCCGGCCGGCTTCACCCTGCGAACCGATTCCCTGAACCTCCTTTACTTTGTACGACACTGGGCTGGTCACTGGGCCCGGGGCGGATGGCCGCTCATTCGAGAGCACATTCAAGTGCTCTGGCTGCAGTTCAGCGCCATTGGCTATCCGGCCGGAAGTCTGCACCGCTACGAGGAGGACCTCGAGGAGCTGTTTGAGGCGCTGGAGCGAGTGCAGCGAGGAGACGATATTACTTCAAAGTCGCCGCCCATCGAGGTGCACTGGCAGAAGGTCCGGGCCCACTCGAACCACCACGGAAACGACGTCAGTGACATGCTATCCAAGCTCGGTCGGCGGCTGCCGTACAACAACGCCCAGCTGTACAACAGTCTAAAGCTGACGCTGAACCTGGCGCCCTCCTCGCACTTTGAACAGCGGCAGCTGGTGGAGCGGCTCGAAAGCCTCGAGCTAGGTCAGAACCTCGCCCAAAAGTTCATCCCCAACCTGCTGGAGGTGATGGCCGTGCCGATGCACATTCCCAAGGCGGCGGTGGTGCGGCTGCTGCCGGCGGGGGCCGCTGCCTTTCTCTGCGAGAAGAACATGGACTTTGGCGCGGCGAAGGACGTCGTACTTCGTTGTACACCGGAGCTGTACAACGCCTTCATGGAGCGGCGGCACCTTCGCCTCGATGCGCACATCACCTGCCGCGTCAATCCGGGCATCAAGCAGTGCTCTCGCTGTCTGGCCATCAACGACCACCTGGCGAAGGACTGCACCAGCGCCCAGGTCCGCTGTGGGAACTGCGCCTCCCGCGACCACGAGTGGAAGGGCTGTCGACGGCCCTCCTGGACGGCGGCCGCGTCCGGGACGTGGAATGATGAAAGTAGCAACACCGGAAATGCTGGCGCCACCTGCGGAAACTGCCTCGACGAGGGCAAGGTGGGCGACCACTCGGCCTTCAGCAGTCAGTGTCCACTGCGCCAGCTGGAGCAGGAGCGGCTGGCCAGTGTGGCGCTGAAGAGGGTCGCCTTCCGGCGGAACCTGGCGGCGGCCGTCGCTGAGAAGGCCAAGGAGAAGAAGGAAACGGAAGTGGAGGAAAAGGACGAGGAAGAAAATGATGGGGAGGAGGAGGAAAATATAGAGGAGGAGGAGGAGGAGGAAGGGGAGAACAAGGAGAACCTACTGGAGAAGACGAAGACGAAGAAGGACAGGCGGAAGAGGAAGAAGAAGAGGGACAGCAAGACGGAGGGCGGTGAAGTTGAAGGGGAGGAGGTGGTGGAAGTGGAAGAGGAGTGAAAGTTTAGGTTGTTTTCTCATAAGAATTGTAAATTAAATCACCACCACACGCACAGTATCGCTCAATTAAAAGATCTTCATTAAAGATTTCATTTTTAATTTTTATTGTTTTCTCTCCAATGTCGCCTGTGAGCCTTTACATTGTTAGCAGTTTAACGGAGTGTCCCGGCGTGTCAGCTCTCAAAAGACCTAGCTTTTTGGCTAGTCATAGGTTCTCTTGCTGCTCAGTTGCTGTTTGCTAGTCCCGCGCACTGTTCATTGCTCACTTGATCCACTTGTTCTGTCGGCTCCTCGTTGTCGTCGTCGTCCTTTTATACCTCGGCTCGGCTGGGGCTGTTGCCTTGCTGGGTTCTTCGGATTACAGGTGATGGTTACGCCTCGGAACCAGTGATGGCCCATGCAACCGCCCCTTTCTATTCGCACACCCTTTTATAGTTGCGCATTTCAGTGTTCTGGGCAGAGCACTAGTGACTTTTTTTTGGCTGGGCTCCAAGTCTTTTGGCATGGAATCAACTCTTCTTCTTTACCACTCCCTATTGTGCCCGGAATAAGTAGCGCAATGAGCTGAAAGGCGGTCCTCTGCGGATTCGTTTGCTCAACGTCGGGATTACTAAAATAGAACACGGTTTCCTTTAAAAGGAAAAAATTTTAGTTCCCTACATAATATCACCCACACGAACGTTATCGTTCAATTAAATTCTTCATTAAAAACTCCCTTTTTTTTGGCTCCAATCGCTCTCAAGCGATGTCGCCTGTGAGCCGCCAGGTAAAGATATGTTCGTAGTTTACTCAAAAAATCCTGACAAATCTTGTCCTGTTTGTTTAGTGGCTTTTGCCAGCCACCA